CTCACACACACACACACACACACACACACACACACACACACACACACACACAGATGCAAAGATGCACCCGAGCAAAGACAGAACACTGTCAGCAGAAAGGTCATGGCACACAGTGTGTGAGAAAAAAGATATCTGAAGACGATACGCTGCCTGTTGCTATGGAGCACTCCTCCAAGGGAACATACACACCAAGACACACACCTACTCAATCTTAAAGAAACAATCACACACTTAAAAACATACACACACACACTTAATCAGCTCCCACCCTGTTAAGGATGTAAGAAAGTTGATGCAGCTTTTCAGGAACAACATGGCTTCAGTAATTGTTTGCAGACTCGTGTTGCTTTTCCGTCTCAACAAGTGTAGAGAGAGCAGGTAGTTTTTTTTTTTTTTTTTTACTGTAATAATCTGTGCTTGTTTGATACTTTTGGTGTAATTGATCATATTCATTTAATCAACTCTCTTGTGGAGACAGCCTTAGATAGAAGGAGCATGTCTGGGTGTGCCAGATATGACTGCAAACACAACAAACGTGCTCATTATGGTCAAAACTTTTTCATTACTGATAAATTTTGAACAATAAAGACATACATCCCTATAAAAAACTGTAATTTAAGAAAATGGAACGATAGATGAACACAAAGCTTCCAAATAATAGCTTTTTGCTATTAAAGCATGTTTTATTTCTTCATGATTGATCTTTAGCTCCAGTTTTGGGAGACCTAAGTGTACATTGTGCACTTAATTTGTGTTTTTCTAACGGGACTGTGCAGGGTGTGTTCCTATCCTCCGCTGGCCTGCCTGCTGCAGTGACTTACAGTAAAAGTTAGCAGGGGCAGAATTCATCACTGCATGGGACTGACGGTTCCTTGCACTGACTTGGGATCAATAGCTTCGTGTAAACAGAGTATGAGGACTGTGCTCTGCTCGGACATGAGGGAAAAAAAACAGACCAGGAGGAGGAGCAGACTGTGCAGGATGTCTGGGGAATATAAGACCGATAGCTTTAATTGTTTTAAATTACGYATTTATGGGATGTTTAAATGAGGGATATCTGGAGGTTGGAAAGTAGCACAGAACTTGTTCATGTGTGTTTTTTGGGGGTTGTCTGACAGGCAAGGAGGTTGTTTGAAAACATCAAATAATGTCATTAATCAACAGRCATCCATTAAGCTGACTGGACATTATTAGAATGACAGAAACTAACAATCAGTCACGTCTAAATGGGCTTGTTAGGTGTTAATAATGAAGGTTGCAGAACGAGGCTGCACATTTATTTGTTTAAATTTCATGTGACAGAATGTTATCTTAATGATGAGACAGAGCCTCTGTTTGTCGGATCCCTTGTTTGCAATTATGTGAGAAAAATATATTAGCAAAAATATAATTTAATTTTTTAACTTTCTTTAAATTTATTGAACAAAAACTAAATGAATGCATGAAAATGACCATTGTGCTTAATAATCACCAGTGTTTACAGCTGGGAAACATCACTTCAGTCAAACTCAGTGAACGTTTTTATCACGTTTAATGTCTTTATGACATTTCAAACTGAATATGGGTTGTAACACATTTGGCCATTTTACTCTGGACTTTGCAGAAAAAAATATTTAAAAAAAGGGGGGGGGGGTAAATATTTTTAGAAGTCTGCATATTCAGTTCCTGATATGTATTAAGTTAAGTCTGCATCTAACAGTTGCTTTTCAGGATCAAAAGTCTGAAGAGACTGGCATAAAACCAGGAATTTCATCGTAATAATAATAATAATAATAATAATAATAATAATAATAATAATAATAATAATAACTTTCTGGAAGTATTTATTGCGTGAAATATAGTAAAAGTGAAAGCCTCCCTTGAATAAACTCGGGGTCAGTATCAGCAGCCCACAGTCCATCACTCACCTTGCGCAGAGGCACTGACTCCTCTCCTGGAAGCCGACAACCATCCAACCAACTGCACCGTCCTTGGTCCCTGAACGCACCTGTTCCCTTCAAATCCGTCCAAACTCAGCGGGACTCACAGCGCCGCTCATCGCGGAGGCATCGGTTCTGCTCGCGTCTTGTGTCAAACTGCCACAGACCCTCCAAACAAATCCAAATACAGGATAGTRTAATTAAAGCAGCTCCCTCGCGCTGCCTGTCTGTCGTGATGCGCGTGTCCTCTCACGACTTCTCGTAGTATCACGGAGGTGGGGGACGGAAAGAAGACGAAGAAGGGAGCTCTGTTGATATTATCCACTTAACTCGGACCGAAAAGGCACAGTGGAAGGTTGAAGGAGAGCAAACAGAAACAGGAGGAAGAGGAAGTGGGATCAGCAGCAGCTCTTCACCGGGATGAATGAAACGACAGAAAGCGCTCTCGGCTTTCCACGGCGCGTGTGCTGATGGTGTTCACTGAATGCTTGATTTGTTCCGTGAGTGAGTGGGTCTCCTCCGCACGAAGCACACACACTCGCGCGCGCACGCGTAAATGACTTACCACACAAACAGAGAGATGGGTGCCAAATTCCCCGCGATGCTCTGACACTGATGCATTTGTTTGGTCTGCTGATATCCTCACATTGCATTCAGCTGCTTAAAAACTTAGTCCAACTTAAAGCAAACAAACAAACAAACTCAGGAGTGGTTGGCAGAGTTCTAAAGTAAATAAGTACAAATACTTTGTACTTAAGTAGAAATTTTGGTTATCTGTACTTTATTGAGTAATTATTTTTCAGCGTACTTTTTCACTTTTACTCATTACATTTTTACACAATTATCTGTACTTCCTACTCACTACATTTTTTTAAAAGGCAAGAAGTTGTTAGGATGAGGTGCAGAATGAACCCAAATCCAGACAGAGGATGACATTTAAAAAAAAAGATTTATTTAAACAAACAAAACAAAGAGYTGTCAGGGCAGCTAAAATAAAACTAAAACTAAAACTCTGAGGATCACCGAGGACAACRAAACAGTAGGAGTAATCCATGTAAGGATCCAGTGAGGAATGAACTGAAGAGAAAGGTGTTTATGCAGACAGAGGAATGAGGAAATGAGGAACACCTGGGAGCAGGACTGATYGGAGATGACTGAACAGGTGAGGATGATTAAACAGCAGGAACCAGATTGAGGGGRAWGTGTGATAAAAATGAGGGAACACAAGAGGGAGATAACACAGACTGACAAATAACACACATCCTCACAGAAGTAGAGAGTCATTACTCCTATTTTATTCCGAGTTATTGCTTAAAAAATACTATCCTGATAAATTGTGTCTCCTGGATAGAGTGAATTTAAATGTGGTTTGATGAGAAGTTTAAATATATACCATTCTGACACCATATTATCTTGTACACAACCCATCACAGCTGCACGCCGTTAGAAAAATGTTTTTTGGAGAAGTCACCTCCCAATAAATGTAGTTTTGGAAAATCTAACTGCTCACTACTACTCAGTACTTTTACTTTTAATACTTAAGTAGATTTTTTTGTGTCAGAAACTTATTTTTGATACTTCAGTACAAAAAAATATCAGATACTTTAAGACTTTTACTCAAGTAATATTTTTAGAGAAGATTTTAACTTTTACCAAAGTATTTTTATGATAAGATGCTTGTACTTTTACTCAAGTGTCACTTTGAGGTACTTTATACAACACTGGTGGTTGGTCATTTTAACTAAAACCATCCAGGAGCAGGGTAGAATCAAGAAAGGTGAGGGTTGCTGGGCCAGGGCCACTTTGGGGCCTTTTTCGATATGTATATTATTTACACTAGGCACTTTGACTTCAAGCTTTATTAATCACACAGAACAGAGCTGCTCCTATCTCACTACTAAGAGTTTTAGTATCAATCCGATACCAAGTAAATACAGATCGGTTCTGATGCCGATACTTGTTCATTGAATAATTTTGTGATTTTGTCTATCGAGTTGATTATGAGAAAACTCGGGCCAAAGATTTTAGGCATAAAAAAATGTTTGTATCCATTATCTACAACAAAATAAAACAATGCAACAGTATAAAAATAATACAATAATTCCCCTTTAATACCTTCTACAGTTGTCATTTGTGAAAAATAAAGTCAGTGGTAATAAAGTGCAAACAAAAGAATCAATCTCATCACAATAATATCATCTGATCCAGTTATCATCTTGGCATTGATAGTATTGATACTTAGATCGATACGCCAACCCCTACTACTGCAGCTTGGGGAACAACATTCATGAGGAAGTCTCCAGAAAGTCTTGCAACTTTCACAGATTTTTTAATGTTTTTGCTTCAGTCGAAGAGGCAAGCATTCCTGTTGCTTGAGTTCAAAATTTTTTGACAATTTATCTCGCAAATCAGTCCCAAAGTCATTGTTGGTGACTCCAAACCCATCTCGAACCCTCCTGAGTAGACCATTTAGCTACGAGGGTTTATGCCCCTAGCTTAGCCTATTTCTTCCAGGTCACAGGTTACTCAAGATGCTGTAAACGCCATTAGAAGTGTGCAAATTAAAAAAGCTCAAGAGGAAAGTTACCTACGGTACTTCARTTGTTCCGATTTTTCTACCTGGATTACTGAGATGTGTCAGGACAGTGTAAATGTACCAGCTAAATTTGTTCAATTCCAGTAGTGTTTACACAGCAGCCTCCGTGTTTAAACCAAAAATGTTGGCGCTCCATTGCTTTTGCACATTTGTAACAATTTTATTTAAGAAAAGGATTGTATTGCAGGCATCTCCAACCCTCTTAAAGCCACTAGAGCTGTATTTTGACACCTTCATGGGAGCTCTCTAAAACATCCAAGGCAAATGTCCAAATCATAAAAAGATCATTCAGTCAGTCGTGCCCCCCTCCCCCCAAAAAAGCTATTTTTTAATGAAACTGAATCAGAGTCAGTAATTCAGTCCTGCATCTCTTTATAAATCCAACAAACTTGACCACACTGACCCAGATTTTTGTAAAACCTAACTAAAACATGGAAAGTAGCCATGAAAGGAAGTGCCAATATTGGGATGTTTTTCACAATATATGGTTCTGTCATCTCAGCATGCTGCTCAACATGAAAGACTGCCATTCCTTTATACAAACTCATTAAACCAGAACAGAAGAAATGGCTGCAAATGGAAAAAAAATAGGAAAATAAAAGATGTGAACTGTTAGAGTCCTGGGAGAATGATGCTATTGATGACTGATGTCTTGTCCTGTATCTAAATTCAAACGCTGAAGCATGGTTGTGTTTAAATGCTGTACTGATTACTTGAATCTAGACTTACATTTCAGAGGGATTAATTTCAAAGTGGGATTTGCATAAACAAACCTTTTCATTTAAATCCCAGTCAAACAAAGACAACATTACACTCCTGTAATGGTATTCCAGCTCTCAAAAACGCAATGTTTGGTGCCAAAATGTTTTGCACAGCCAACAAACCACCTCTGACGTATCAAAACGGTAATAATTAATTCTCTTAATTCCTTACGGCTCACAAACAGTTCCCATAAAATGCACAATATAGAGTTTAAGTTAAAAAAAAAGAAGAATGTCATTGTAAATCTCCTTGTTAGAAATTTTCTCTTCGATTAGCCCAAGGTTTTCAGAAATGTCCCTGTTTTTTTTTTTTCTTACTGAGTATGGATGTGCATTCATTCYGAGAGAATGGGCGCCTATTACATGCTTTCAAAGGCTGTGACAGCAGCTCTCAGTGGGGAAGCCAAACACTTCGCAACCCAGACAATKTAGGCAGACACACATATACACACAAGACAGATTCAAACACACAGAAACCCACTGACACAATGCACATCGACACGATGAAAGGGACAATTTTATCAAACCGGCCAAGGCAGGCCTGYGGATGTTTAGTGCCAGCACTGGTCTGGAGAAAGAGGGCAGTGTGGACCTTGTGTGGGTTTATTCATGTTTGTGTGTGTCTGTAACGTTGTTCTTTCTTCGGCTAAAGTCGGCCCTCTGACGCAATGTGCACTTTTGCCCCCCAGCTAATTTTCGAACGCATCACCTGCTGATCGTGGGTGCATGAAAAGAATTTATTGCTCTTTTGACCATCAGGATGCCCTGGTGTAATGAAACAAATTTATGTTTATGAGTTTGTTAGAGATGGAGAGCTAAACTGGGGGAGGTAGTGGTGATACTGGGTGTCATTAAACTGTGGGATCGATGTCCACTGCCAGAGGTTTAGCATTTACAAGTCCAACCTGATCCACCGTTAGAGAGCGGCGCTCAGGAGAAAATAGAAGAGACGCCAGAAAAGGTGGTGTGGAAGTGAGTAAACATAAGAAAAATGTGTCTTGCGTCAACAACGTTTGTACAGTACAAAATCAGACAGTTACAAATCAGTGCTTTTCTTTTTCTGCATATCTTCAGGACCATGAATCCATGTACATGTCATTCTCTGCTTAGGTTGATGTATGATCACCATGATCACTCTTACACTGTGGTGACATCCTGAAGCAGTCCCTGAGGGGTCAGATTTCTCAAACTTCCTGTCTGGACTAAGTTTAGTGATTATAGAAATCCCCCATCAAAACATTTTAGTAGATTTTAATGAGTTCATCTGCTCACGAGGGCACAAAAGGTGAGAATAAAGTTATAAATTTTATTTTTTTTCTCTGCAAGCACAGAGGTTCTTGGTTTTGTAATTGAGAACTATATTTTTTTAAAATTTATTTACAGGACTTAAAAACATAAAACAATAATGTTGAATTGAAAATAGCATCCTTGCATTGCTTGGAATCTTTTACTGATTTTTTTTATTTTAATTTAATTTTTTGTCATTCTAATGTCAGCAGAGAATGAAATATGCACGAACAGAATGTTTTAAAGTAAAAGTTCATTTTACTTAATGTGTTCAGTGAACTAATATCATTTTTACATTTTCTGACCTTTTTTCACTTACCTGTTTCTTTAAAACAGTGCAATTTTTATTGAAGCATTTTGTTTAAATTGTTCCTAAAAACACATAAAATAATTTTATATTCTTTAGTAGGAAAAAAAATCAAGCCATATTAGACCATAAAAATATTATTTGCAAAGGTTTCAATGAATATCTCTATGAACACTGTAAAATCCTAATTGTTCATGCAAACTGCACAATAACTCAAAAACCAGCATAGAGGCGCGACTTTTACCACTTTTTTTGGCTTGTGTTTGCGAATTGGTTATAATAGAACAATAAGTCAAAGAATATATTTTTTTCTTCATAATTAGAACTTTCTTTAAACCTCAGACACACTGATGCACCACCAGATATTATTTTCACTGATCTGCAGCTGAGGCTGTGTTTAAATTTAGATATCAATATAAATATATTTATATTGGTTGGGAGAGAAGCTTAAGTTCAACTGTCTTGATTTTATGTTGTAAGTTCATGAACTCTTTTGGAATCTGCCTGCTGTAAGAAAGTAAAAAAAAATGTCCCCAGAGAATGAGCAAAATAGATTTGCCTGTTCATCCACCAGAGGTCAGAA